CCTTAAGTGTTATTTTAGGTTCTCCTGTTCTAGGACAATAATGCCTTCATAGTTCCCCTTATAGATGTAGATGAAGGATAATGTGCTTGAAGATAGAGTTAAACACTTCCTCTTCTTTTGAAGTTTTTGTATACAGTGTGCATATATAACTGTTAAGGCATTTATCCATGCCATGAAGAATTACTATGTCTCTCTCAACTAGATATTTGTCTCTTTATAAAGCATTCCCGCACATCTAGAACATAATTGGTTATCAAAAAATGCTTGTTGAAATGGATTTGTTCAATGGAATTATTATTGACAAAACTTGGGAATAATTCTCTTCATTGTGTTTTGTACTTCAAATATAAATTACTCAAGAAATGATGAAGAATAACCAGTTTTTCTTTCTCAAACTCCTTTGTCGAGGGAGTTGATGGAAATGGTGAGATAGTTGTTTCCCTAAAGAAATGAACTCCAAGGGAGGAAAAATTAAAAGTTTTGACTATTGTCCTTCTTTAACTTAAATAACAGCAAAACAACAAGAAGAGAGACATAATNCAGAGCAGACTTTCAACTGAGAATGCATAAAAATCTGCTATTAAAAATACAACTATTTCCTCGGTTTTGTTAGTTTCATATCTAGTCAAAGCTACATAAAGATGGAAGTGGCGGAAGAAGCGTGGCAGATAATACCCCTTACTATGCCAGGTAATTATGTTCCCTTCATGGGAATATATAAATGAAAACCATTATAGGCACAAAATAGAATGTCTTTGCAAAATTATATCAAAAATGGAATTAGAAACACTGTAATTCTAAGTAATCATAATTAATCTTACAATATTATAAACTTACTCTTATTTTTGTTAAAATAGTACCTAATTTTCACTTCTAGGCCAAAACCTTAACTGATCCTGCAGTCTGGTTTAAGAAATAACAAAATGGGGCCGGCCCGGTGGCGCACTGGATAGTGCGCCGCTTGGGAAGCGCGGCGGTGCTCCCGCCCGAGGGTTCGGATCACACGCACCCAAAAAAAGCTAGTAGGGAAACTTGCCAGAATTTGAACCCAGATCTGCCAAAACTCCAAAGTCAGACCATAATTGTGTCTCCCAGTGTGTAAATATCTATCAAATACTTTGTGCACATGTGTGAACATGCCAAACTTTGAATGATTTAAGTATAACCTGTATTTTAATACTTAGGACAGCATCATAAAATTAATTTCTAAATGAATATTGAAATTTATCCAGTTTCTATGTTTAGCAATTGGTGTTAATTTACCTCTCATAAGTGCTAGAAAGGTTCTACAATACCTCCTCCAGCCCTTTTATACTATTCAAGCTTTTTATTAGCCCTAATGTTGATTGCCTTCCCAGGGCATCTACTAGTTTGAGTATAATTTGTCTAATTAAATTTAAAGAAGAGATGTTTCAGGGAGCACCATTTCATCATTTCCTCTTAAACTCTATGCTGTGGACTTTAATGAGGACCTAAACCCCATCTTAACCCAGCCTTAGTTTCAGCACAGATGAGCTGTGCTTGTTAAGACAGTCTTCAGTTGTCACTAAAGTGAAAATTTTTTTAGCTATCCGTAACTCAAATGTCCATTACTTATACAAGTTCTACCACATAGAGGGCTTCAAGAAGAGATGTGCTCTTCTATCATCCTTATATATTTCCTTATATAATATATATTCCTCCTGGAATTTTGTAACTTGTAATGGAAACAGCCTGGGCAGAAATAAGAAGCTGGCACTAACTGTGTTAGGCACAGAGAAGAACAATTTCTGGTTCCTCTCGAATCACTGACACACACACACACACACACACACACACACACACACAAGTATTAATATTCTCTAGTATGACTAAATGCCTATTTTCATACTGTTTGTTCTTTTCACTGCAGTGACTACCCTCTGATCAAAACATTCTGCATTTTGAAATAATAAAGTATTAGCTCACACATTGAATAATGCATGACATTTGAACATTCTTACATCATATTAAAATAGCAATTTATTTCTTAAAGTCCACTAATTTTTTGACTACATATGTCAAGTTATTAATATTATATACATGTTTTGATGCTGTTGTATAAAATTCAGCTAAAAGAATGTAAAGATGGTTGATTTAAATTCAGAAGATAACTTTATTAAAATTAAAATTGGGGGGGGGTTAAATGTCATTATCAAGAAAGTAAATTTTAAAAAATCCCAAAGACTAGGAGAAAATATTTGAAAGTCATAAATCTGAAAAGGGACTTGGATCCAGAATATACAAAGAACTCTTTTAAATCTATAATAAGAATACAAATAACCTAATTTAAAAATTGACAAAGAAAAATCAACAAAGAATTTGAAAATATTTCTCTAAGGAGATATGTATATAAATGCCCAATAAGCATGTCAAAAGATGAACATAATTAGTCTTAAAGAAATGCAAATCAAAACCACAATGATATACTGCTTCATATACATTAAAATGGCTGTACTCAAAAAGATATACTATAACAATTGTTGGCAAGAATATGAGAGAAATTGGCAAGGATTTGGGAGAAACTAGAATGTTGAAACATTGTTGGTGGGAAAAGAAAATGGTGCAACCACTTTGTAAAACATTTGGGCAGTTCATCAAAATGTTAACAAAGAGTTATCATATTATCCAATAATTCCTAGGTGTATTCCAAGCAAAATGGAAACATATGTCCCTATAAAGACTTGTAGACAAATGTTGGTGGCAGCATTATTCATGAGAACCACAAGTGGAAAAAACTCAAAGGTCCACCAACTGAACTGAACAGATAAACAGAATGTGGAATATCCAGACAATGGAATACAACACAACAATGAAAGGAACAGAAGTAGTAATGCATGCTACAACGTGGATGAACTTCAAACATTGTGCTGAGTGAAAGAAGCCAGATGCAAAAGGCCACATATTGCATGATTTCATTCATATAACCAGAGTAACCAAATATATAGCAATAGAGAGTAGATTAGTGGTTGCACAGGGCTAAAGTAGGAGAAATGAGGGAGTGACTGTTATTGGGCATAGGGTTTCATTTTGGGATGATGAAATGTTCTAAAACTAGATTTTGGTGACGATTTCACAACTCAGTAAATATTTTAAAAATATTGAGTTGCAAACCTTAATTATGATATGTTAATTATATCTCAATAATGTTTTAGAAAATTCGGAAGACAGAACATGTCATATTTATAGTTCAATCAACACATTTTTACTGTATTACTTAATTTACTCTTTTATTTATTGAATATTTTCCTTTATTGTTATTGATTACACCTTAATTTTAAATAGTGAGGTTTTTACCTTTTTTTTTCTGCTTTGTTTATTGCATTTTTCTTTTTTGTTCATTTTCTTTAAAGGAATTAAAGAGACTACCATTAATATAGCCTTTGAAAACTTACCGTCCATGTGACCTGGACAGTGGTGGGAGTCAACGCAACTGGAGTATGAAGACGAACAATGACATCTCCTAGTTCTTTCTGTACTTGTCTGTGGTCCACTCCTTGTGCTGGTGGGCTGATATCTGCAGTTAGATAAGATAATCATTCCCAATTTTTAATCATGCTAGTAAAATTTCTATTTATTTTACGTTAGCCAATATTATGCTATTAAAAATAATAACAGGAGAAAAAATTAAAACTCTTCTGTAACAAAAATCACTTAAGCATATATATACATATATTTGGTATATACATATAAATATATCACATATGTATATAACACTTAAAGGAAATATATATATATATATATATATATATATCACAATGGTAGAACATAATTTGAGAGATATTTGAAATAAAAATAATAAAAGAGTGATCACAATCTGTTATCTCCACTCAAATACAGGTATATTGTTGTGGGAGATCATTTATTTTCTTATTAAGGGATAAAATATGTGCTCTAAGCCTTCTCTAGAGATCAGCTTTATGTAGTTGGTATATTGAAGGATTCTCCCAAGCAGTAAGTTGGGACCTATCAGAAAACCGCAGTTTAGGAATTTGATGAATCCCTGGTCCCAATTATCAGGTTGTGTTTTCTTCCTCCTTGACCTAGTTCAATCTGAAGCATGAATGGGAGAGTAATCAGGGCCAGGGGAAGTGAATTATATAATTAAGGTAAATGGGGCGGGGGAGGAAAGAGCTCCTCAAATTCACAAAAAATACTTTTGACAGACAAGTTTAGAACACCGATAACATGCTCTGAAGTAACACATTTTGAGCAGTACTGTAATATCTGAGGTTGGGCAGCTGCTTTTGGGGAGAGAGCGGGAGGGGACAGGAGGAAGAATGGGGATGTTCAGAATGATAGACCCTCAGTCATATATTGTTACTGCCTCCTTATTCACCCTTTCCCTGAATACCACTCTACTGCCCCATACAATGCTTTATATTTTATGCGTCCATTAAGAGAAAAATGATAAATTATAGACATCTAAGTTCATCAGTTGATTCAAACATTGGATTTCACACGTACTCAGATCAACTTCTTTAACTGTGCACTTTAACTTGAAATTCTTTCTCTATTTTATTTAAGGAAGTAAGTCCAATTTAAAGTGATTTATTTTCTTAAACTTGTTTTTGCTTATTTTCTCAGGCCACAATGCAATACTCTTGCAAAAGTATTTTTAAGTGCATATCTCAGCTATAACAAATTTGGTGCAGTAACGTAAAATGGGACATAAAATAATTGGGAACCATTCTTCAGTGATTTTTTTTTCCAGTTCCACTTTTTTCATACTTAACATAAACTACAAAGTGAGGCTTTACTTGATTCAGAAAAAAAGTCCCTTTATGTGAATAATACTAACCTTTGCTGCTATATGTATGATCTGCTGTGATGTTGATAGTACCAGTATTTGCAGCATTAATGAAATACAGGATTTACTAGATTCTATTGTATTTAAAATCTTTGAAAAATAAGAGCTCACAGAGTAAAGTGCTCCTTAAGAAGTGTCTTACAGAATAGCTGCTGAAAGTTTGGTATCAGAAAACTGATCCTAACGTTTAGACACAAAACATGAATTTTCCTATTAAGTATCTGTTAAGAAAACATAAGTCTTTTGCTGTATATAGTCTCTCAACTGGAACAAGCCAGATCACAAACAATTTTTCATTAATCTCTTTCGACCTTTTCACGAAGAGTTATTTTATGGGTCAAGATTTAGTGGCTGGCAAAATTATTGAACAATCAAGAAGATCTGATGGATTTAATCACACTAAAATTCCTCCCATTCGGTATCTATCTACATTGCACAGGTATAAATGATCCAGGGACAACAATTTATTGACTTAAAATTGTACACAGCTTCCATTTCAAGTTCAGTAATTTAATTTACTCCTTAAATTCAGACACACCAAAAACAATTGGATCTAGGTGAGGTAAAATATAACTAGTTTCAGGTCTTCAAATTCCTTGTTGTGCCTTTTCTTTCTCTAGAAACAAGTTCGTTACCTACAGGCCCTTTATCATCATGGAAAATTAATCACATTACTGCTTAGAGAACAATAGCAAAGTGGCATTCCCTCCTCCCTTGACTGTCATCATGTCAGCAACGTTACAAAGTCACGTGGTGACTATTTCACTAGATTCCTTTAAGGTGCCTTTCTCTGTTATAATAGCATGCTGGTTACCATCACTGAACTACATTGTAATTATAATAATATTTTATGGCTGTATGGTGCTTTTCATAGCATAAAAATACTACTTTGAATTATATCTTGTTCAAAGCCTTTTACAAATAAGAAATAATTAACCCTTTCTCAAAAATCCTATGGGAAGTAGGTTATAACAGTAATAAAGCCATCATTTCTACTTTATTAATTCCCTTTACCTGCTCCTGGGAAGGAAGGGAAACTATAATGTACATTAAACCTCGGATGCCAGTGACTTCTCACTTTAAAGAGACAGACTACTAAAGATGAGATAAAGTAACCTTCATTTTGAAATTATATTTTAATATTCTGGGTTTTTAAAAAAAATATTAGTCAAAGGAATTGTATGCCTGCTTGCCTCAGGAAGGCTTGATTTACTGCTTTCTGAGACAAATTACTCCTTTGAACACATGATTTATTAAAATACATTGTAGTAGTGGTTGTCAAACTTAAGCATCAGCATCACTTGGAGGGTATGTTAAAACAGACACTGGGCCCCAACTCTAGAGCTTTTGAGTTGGAGCCTAGAAATCGGTTTCTAACTGTTCCAGGTGATGCAGATGCTATTTACCTGGGATCTACACTTTGCAAACCACTGCACTATAAAAACAGAATCCCCGAACAATAGCAAATAATTCTGATACCCATATCTGGACATCTATTTATTAAATATTACTACTCTGCTATTGTATAATTAATTTCAAAGAAGGAGAAACATCTTTCCTCCCTCTGGCATATAATAATTGAGCCCTAATTTAGTGAATTCACTCTTCCTGTGTACATATACCCAATTATTTTGTTTATTTTTTACTGAAAAGATCCTGAAAGCTCCAGAAAGACGACACACCTCACCAAGGTGAATAACAAGCTTTCTTCTCTTCATGGATAAAGTCTAGTGAATCATTATAAAAAGCGGTGCAGGCACATTTACTTTTCCTCATGCAATTCCCTTGCTCTTGAATATCTGTTTGATGCTTTCTTCCAGAACCAGGCATGTTCACAGCTATTGAAATTACCTTGTGTGCGCACAGGATCTGACATAGGGCTTGGGTCACTGAGACCTTGGGGGTTGATTGCTCTGACCATGAATAAGTAGATTGTATTGGGCCGCAGTCCTCTCACAGTATAGAGGGTGGTCTTTACATGGTTCGCCACCGTCTGCCAGCTATTGCTCACTGATTGGCTGAAACATGAACAGAAATGTCATTTAAAGAACAGTCATAAGGGTATTAGAAATGGAGTTGGGTATCAATGACAAAGGTTAATGGCTGAAAATTAAACACATACACACACAACACTTGAAGTGTTCAGCCCAATAAATGAAACACTTGGATGATTTCAGTTTATTCAACAACAAAGCCGAGCCCACCTAACGGAAGTGCCATGCACAACAAAATTAAACTCAGCCCAGGAGATGTGACAGCCCTTTGCTAATGCACAGCAGCCCACTAAATGAATACCTGTAAAAGGAACAGAGGCCAAGATCACAACATCAAGTTTATACAATAAGTATGGTCCTCGTAAATGTATATATATATATACCTTGAAAAGAATTAACCTGTAGAAAGAATAAATGGACTACAGAGTAAATTATGCCAATACATTTTCCTGTTACAAGGTGTGTTTTCTTTTGCATCAATTCCACATGCAATATTATAATAGAGCCTTCTAAAACTACATATCTGTAAAAGAAGAAAGGAAGCAAGTAATGAATATTTTCCCTTGGTTACATTTTTAATAAATTGTACATTATACAGTATCGTGGCTTCTCATCTCAGAATGCTGAATCTGTGTGTGTGGACCCCTTAACAGCCATCCACAGTGGATGTCATTTTAGAACACTTTGTCTAAGGTCAGATTCTATTTTTGCTCAGAATAAGAAAAAAAAATGTGATTTTTTCATGGCCGTCTATTTATTTTTCAGATGTACTTAAGCATCGAAGCACAAAAATGAAGAAAAATAGTATTTTGAAATTTGAAAACTATCATTACATTAAATATAGATTAGAGAAGCCTCAAATGAAAGTCATCTTTTGTTCTAATGTTTACAAAGAAGGGTGGTTATCCTTTAAACTTTATAATGTCAAATAGAAGCACACTGAATATGAAAGTACATTTTCCAACTTGTGGAAGTATTTTATCAATATTCCCATAGAAAATTTAATATTTGTTAATTTATAGTCTATATCTTTAAATTGATGACAATTATTTCATATAACACATGAAAACATCTTTTCCTTTCAGCAATTGTAAATATATGGAATCGATTTCTTAATTCTGGTTTTTAATTCTCTCTCAAGTATATCCAATAGATGTATTCAAATATATAGCATAGAAACATTGAAATTATTTTACATTCTCCTCTAATTATTAGGAATGAAGATTCCAGATTCCCATGACTCAATAAACATTGCTTAATTTTAAAAAGTGCCTGTGCCTAATTAAATTATTTTCTGCCTAGTTCTAATGCCCAAATTCTCATCTACAGTCCCTACAATGGTCAGAGTAAAGAAAGAAGCTATGTTATGAACTAGATTCCTAAAGACCTAGGCATGAACAATGCACAATTACTCTTATAATTAAGTCATAAATAAAAAGTAAAGTCTGTTTTTGAGTAAAGTCATATATAAAAGATAAATTCTTAAATTGCATTGATTGAACATGTCCTTAAAATAAAACAGCAGGACAGCTCAGGGGATATCTTAGGATACAGGAGCTACAGCAAAAACCCAATGGGGAAAACAGGAATTATTCCATACCTGAAAGCCTCAATGATATATGCACTTGCTGGAAGGGTTCCAGGGGTACCTGGTTGCCAGGACAAGGTGACACTGTTTTTAGTAACATCAGTGACCTGTGGTTTGGATGGTGGCCCTGGCAGGTCATTTAAATCATAATTTTTACTGATTGTTGCTCCAGATTCTATAGAGGACAGACAGAAAAAACTTCATTCCTGATTGCATAAGCTGACAGTAACGTTAACAATATAGAGGAGCTGACCTAGACAGTGAACAATTTGTCTCCATAAATCAGAAGTATGTAAGTGAATATCTGCTTTTCCTACATGCTAATAAATGTAAGCTTTACTTTTACACATGATCACTAGAGTTGCTTGCACTTCAGAGGAAGTAAAATAAGATTATCAAAGGCAAATGTATTAAATTCCACAAATGCAATGATATGTGCCAACTGTACAGAAATTAAAAAGGGGCATTGAATGTAAAGACTTAGATTTACATTCAATAAATTTAAAGCCTTGGTCTCTCTTTCACTTGTTATTTAATAATGAACTATCTCTAACAGGGGCTCAAGATTCTGCTGCTAATGTGATTCACAAAGAACTCACCTGCCACATCCAGAACTGCACTCCAGGAAGTCTCCCCACTTGAACTTGTAGCCACACAAGTATAAGTGCCAGTATCAGAAATCTAGTGTGAATAGAAGGGAGATAATTAACTTGTTTAGTCAATTTGTAAAATAATTACTCAATATCAACCGTGCAATATTTCTTAAAATGAGGTATATATTTGGCTGTCCAAATTATGCAGTAGAGTCGATCTAAATTCTATTTTTTTTCTTGGACAGTGGCAAAAGGCTTTTAGAAAGAATTGATAATAATCAATTCCTCTAATATGTAGAATATTAAAATAAACTCATAATAACATTAATTCAAAGGGTTTTTTATTATATTTCTGCAACTAAATATTATTTTTCTGATAAACTCTATTGGTCTCTCTTGCTC